TTGGATCTTCCTTAGTAGGTATTCCAGGTCTGGGAGGTTCTCTGCTAGCTTTATGGTGTCATCTGAATATCTAGATGGTTGATATTCCTTCCTCCTATTTTCACTCCTCCTCCTTTTGCATCCAAGCCTGCTTTTCTTATAATATGTTCTGCATGCAAGTTGAACAGACAGGGTGATAGGATGCAGCCTTGTCTGGCTCCTTTGCCAATTGGGAACCATTCTGTTTCTCTGTATTCTGTTCTGACAGTAGCCTCTTGTCCCGAGTTCAGATTCCTCATCAGGACTATCAGATCTATTGGCACTCCCAGGTTTTTAAGGGTCTTCCATAACCTTTCATGGATGATGCACTCAAAAGCTTTGCTAGTCTATAAACCACATACTCATTTTCCTTTGGAATTCCCTGGCGCACTCCATCAGCCATTGCATGTTTGCAGTGTGATCCCTCGTGCCTCTTCCTTTTCTGAACCCTACTTGGACCTCTGGGATCTCTCTTTCCATATATAATAGTAAACTCAGCACTCTCTGGGTTCATGTCACCTTACCTTTACCTTACAATGGATAAAAAACAACAACAAACCATATTGTAAAAATGTATTAACACAATTCTTTCCTTCCCTCACTTCTTCAATGTGATTCAGGTTATTCTGTCTTCTTTTATCTTCACAACAGCCCTGTCAGGTAGGTCAGGCTGAGAATCCCACTATACTCATCCCTCCACATTTGCAGCTTTCACTTTTGCAAATTTGATTATTCACGGGTTTTATTAATATCTTCTCTCTAGGAATATCTAGGTCCTCCAGTGCAACTCTATAGTCAACTTTAACCAAAAGTCGCCCTGAAGGACCTAAGAGATTCCTCGAGAGAAGACTCCACTAGGCATTTGGAGCTCCTCCGGCACAATTCTATGGTCAATGTTTGGCAGATGTTGACCACAGAGTTACACTGGAGGACCCAGAGATTCCTAGAGAGGTGTTCTCTCGGATAAAAACATAGGGTTTTTGTTATTTGAGGTTTTTCCACATCCACGGGGGTCCTGTGCCCCTAACCCCAGCGAATGTGGAGGGACGAGGGTAGATTTACTTGTGAAGGAGCCCTAGTGACACAGTGGTTAAACACCAGTCCTGCAGCCACAAGGTTGTGAGTTTGAATCTGCAGGGCTCCAAGGT